CCAAGGTTCGTAGGGCGATGAGTTAAATCCGCTGGGTAAAGTCTTCTTTTGTCGGTACCAGCTGATAAATCTGGTCGCGTCGTCGCTGGGATCTACGTGATCCTCACGAAAGGCATACTTTGTCGCATACCGTTCGTGGGTGTACAGCAAGTCGCGCATCCAGACGGCGAGGATAACACTTCTCATTGGTGTGCCAAGTTGGGCTACGAGGGTCTCCACAGCCGCTGGTATCATCTCGTTCTGGTATAGGCCGTACAGGGTGTAGTGGCAAAAGTAATTGCCGAGCCGAGCTGCGAAGATGAATCGCAGGAATGCGGTGACTCCGTCCTGGGCCATGTCAACTTCCCCTTCTGGGAGGTACTGAGTCAAGTCCAGTGCTGCCCGAGCCGCGGTTGTTACAAAGGCTGGGTGGGCGTCCGTGATGACGAACTGGGCAATACTTTCCATCTCGTCATGGGGGTATTCCCGAGCTCCTAGTTGGCTCGCACGCGTTCCGTCCGGACTGTAAAGTGGTACATTCAGCAAGACCGGGTCGGTCATCGACGGTAACGCATTCGATCTAGTGTACGGATGTTCAACATTCTGTGCTGTGTGCGCAGACATGTTGAAGTCCGGTTGCCACTGATGTTGTTCCAGTAACGTCTGGTATCCAGATCGGACGAGGAATTGACGGAGGTTTTCTACCATTCGCCAAACTTGTGGTCGATTCCGTTCCTCGTAATTCATGACGTTCATAATGTGGTTTGTCCGTTCAGTGGGATGTAGCATGACGACCTCGATTCCTTGTTGTCGAGCGCGGTCGTAGCGAGGATCTTCTCGGATCGGCACTTCTACTTGTGGTAGTTGCGCCATCTGGTCGGCTACTTCGACGTCCATTTGTTCCGGTTGAGCTGCCAGTTCAGCTGGGACTTCAGCCGCCGGTTCCGCCTGATGGGCTTCCGGCTGCTGTTCGGGTGGGACAAAGTTACGTTTCGACTTATTTGTTAAGTCTACCGTAAGTCCGATTCCCGTTTCTCCGGATCCAGTCCGTTTTCCTGGTGGAGGTCTGGTCGGCTCTTTTCCGACTTGGCGGATAACTGCTCGTTGCTCTTCGATTCTGTCTCGAAGATCAACAGGACCAATCCTGTGTCGGAGGTCGTGTCCCGCTAAATTTTTACTCGGTCGGCGTTGCTGCTGTTGAGTTGCCGGTTGAGTCCGAGTTCCATGAGTTCCATGTTGGGGAATCTGCTGGGAAACAGTTGGACGAGCCTGTGTGACTACTGGCGTTGCCCTATGTGGGATTGCCATCAACTGTTCCTGGGTTGCCGGAGTAAAGGTAACCGGCTGTTGGGTTCCGTCCGGCATATTCATTATCATCGTCACCGATGCACTAGTCATTGGTCGGTGTGGATCTCCGACGAAGACATCGCGTATGGTGTGCATCAACTGCTCGGTTTCCAGGCGACCCTGTGTGGGTGCCGGTACCCGAATTTTTATTTCCGGTTCGTAGTCGGTCGGTGGTGGATGGACTCGCATTGTGGCGATCCGTTTATCGACCTCCCTAATCCTCTTCTGGTCGTCGAGTTGACGCTGCAGATCCTGCATCTGACGATACTCCAACAGCCTGTTTGTTAAGACTGGTGGTCGGGTTTCTTCCCATCTCGAGTCGTTAGCTCGTTGTCGCTGAATTGTAGCCAGGTTATCCTGTTCGTGTGACTCCAATTGGTTAATCAGGTATTCTCTGCCGGCCAGGTACCGATATGCGCTCAAGTTACCAGCGACAACATTAATGTAAAGTGCCGCCGCCTGAGCTCGGTGTTGCGGTCCAGTGCCGGTAACTCGTTCGTTTGTGAAGGAAACGATGCATTGCCCGCAGGGCAATCTGTTGTTGTCCCTCGTCGCGTTATCCCCGCACTGTTGGCAGTCCACCGTATAAGCTTCCGTTCGGTTCTGTCAAAACAAAAGTAAGCCAACCGTTTCTCGGTTGCATCTTATAAATTTACACCCTATAGTTACTACGGTCGGGCCAGGTCGGTTCTCGAACTGGTCCAAGACGCCTTTGTGGTCGTCTAATGAGGTAAGTCGACTTCTGTTGGTCGATGACGCCTGTGTGGTGTCAATGGAGGGAGGTCGGTTATGCCTCTCCTCCAACGCGTTCTGCGTTCCCTCATTCCAGTGTCGGTGCTTCTGACGACTGCGGCCGACTTGCTTGGTGCGAGTCAGCCAACTCGGTCGGTTGTGCCGAGGTGGATCGTTCCTTCGGTAAGTGTCCGTGTCGGTGAGTTGATGGGTTTAGTGCTATAAATCGTTGGCCACCCTGGACTTTATCGGTGTTTGTGGCAAATCTTTGTTGGTAGAGTGCCTTAGATAGGACGAATTCCAATTCGTCTTCCAGGGAATACTTCTTGCGTCCGGCGATTACGTCCGGTTTGGCCTTGTATTTGGGGTCGACCAACTGCGGTTCCGCTGCTGTCCATTCGAACTCGAACCGTGCTGTAAGTTGGTGGAGTATTTCTCCACGGGTGAGTCCGTCGGGATGCCAGGACATTTCCATACACGCTTCGATGGCGTGTGTCCATCCTTCGTATGTTGAAGGGGCCGGATCCTTTTTAGCCGGCGGGAACTCGTAGTACATCCGCTTTGTGCTGGTGTACGTACGTATTATCTTCCCGGCATGATATCCCAGGTCACAGTAATGTCGCACGTTATTCTGGCTCAGTTGTCGCCAGTCGCCCGTCTCATCTACCTTCCAATGTTGGAGGAGTTTGAAGGCAATTCTTGGTGTGGCGAATTTCGGTCCACGTGTAGCCAAGGCCTTCAGGGCGGCGAATGTGTACATCCATCCCGCATCGTATTCCGATACACTCGGCTTCGGTTTTGAGGCCGATTTGATGCCTGTGTACTTGACGCGAACGTTGGTTAACGGAGGGATGTCGTCCGGCAACACTTCCATGGTGTCTTCATTCCATTCGGAGAGAAGTGGCCGCTCGTCGGTGTCAGGGGTTATCGGTATCCGTTTACCGTACTGACGAGGGATATATACTCCGCCATCGTCTTCATTGCTTTTGGACTCGTCGGCTTTGTCGCCGCTGTCCTTTTCTTCGGGTTGTTTGTCCGGTATCTCCGGTTCGCCCTGCTGTTGAGGTGCCGAGCTCGACGGTGGTGGGGGTTTACCGTTTTCATCGTCATCATCGTCATCGTCCTTCGGCGATCCATTTCCAGGTGTTTGGAAATCGTCATCGTCGTCGTCGTCTTCGGTTTCTTCCTCGGATGACGAGATCGGCTCCGATGACTTCGGTTCTTTTTTCTTGGCCGGCTTAGTCGACTTCGTCTTGGTCGACTTTGACTTTACCTTCTGTTGGGTCAAGTCTTCCGGTTCCGGGGAAATTTCCATAGGCGAGGACGGCGGGAGTGACTGTACGTCTCTCGGAATGAACCGTCCTTTCGCGCTCCTGGTCGGTTTTGCCAGACTTGCTCGTCCCGCCGGAGCTACTGCCGTACCGACATATGTTGTCGGTTCGAACGGTGCTCGGGGTCGGGGTAAGACTTGGACTCGTCTTTGTGACGACTGTCCAGCCGTACGAGCTATATGCAGCAAGGCAGCTGCATCCTCCGACGGTTGTTCGTTGGAGTCACTGTATTCTTCAATAGGTTCCGTGCCGGCCGGGGGCTTGTCCGTGTTGACGTAAGACATCCGGAGGTTAAACTCACGCCGATGTTGTTCCGGTATGAAGTTAGGCACGGTGTACCGTACTGGTACGTCGCGTTCTGCGTTAGTCGTCTGAAGGGTATGTTGTTCAACCAAAGACGTAATCCGGTCGCTTATCCTGTCCGTAATGATTTCGTCGATGTTCCTCTTCTTGTCCATGTACATCACGTTATATACGCGGGCAATTTGGACCAACGTTGATCCGCGGGGATTCCTACTGTATCCGATTAACCGTGCAATTCTAGTCGGTGTATCGTCCGCATTCCTGGCGGCTGCGCTTTTGAGTGCCTTGATGAGGTCCGGTGGAAGCAGTTCGGCCATCCGTCCCCATTGTCGGTGAACGGCTACTGCTAATCCGAAATCCAAAGTCCAGGCGACGATCTGCATCATGAGTTGATGCGTCAACCATTTTCCGGTTTCACCTCCGACTTGGATGTTGTTGGACAGGTCTCGGACCAAGGACTGGTAGATGTCCACGCCGTTTTTCCTGGCGTTTTCGATGCTCCTTACAACTTCGACGTGTACTCGGACGGTACGGATTAATGTAGGGTTGTTGATACCAAATGGTAACTGGTATTTTGGTACGGCTGGTATACCACTTACCAATGGTATATCAGGCAGGTGTCGAATGGTATGATTTATTACCAGATATACCATATAAATTATGGTATACCAAAATGCCTATGGTAATACCAAAAATTCAATTTTTTTGGGGAGCAGGATAGTGGGAAACGGAAAAATCCTTGTAGAAAGTCGTGATCACCGCAAAGCCATTACGTGTACTACTGTATCTCACCGCTTACGCAGCTTCACTGCACTAAACTGCAAATCCCTCTTTATCCGTTATGACTTTTATCGTTCGTTTCTATCCGCAAGCGGCAAGCATTTCTGTAACAAAACATCATTTTTGTCGGCAAAAACTGGTTGGAAAAACATAGCAGAACCGGCGCATCGACTTAGCGAGCTTCTATCATGAGTTCAGCAGATAATCCAGGGAGCTCAACCCAGGATTCGGAAGCGATGGAAGATCAACCAGCATCAGGTGCGCTTCTTACTTGCTGGTCGACCAGCATTCCGCATCCTTTAAATTTGAGCGCAGTTTGATTTATTTAGCCACTGCAATTTAGTATTCACTACAAAGGTTTTCAGGGGCAAAACGTCCGCGGATTAGCCGTTTACCGATCTGGCGATACTTTAATCGGGGCACCAAACTGGTTTCTCATTCCAATTTTTGGGAAGCGATTTGCAAAGAGTGTGCTGCCAACCTGCCGTCTCCAAAAGTTGTGCGCGGAGAAAAGGTGCATCTGGAAAACCATTTCTATAAGTGCGAATTTATTCGACAATCAACGAAGGATGAATACCGCAAGGAAGTGTCTGTTTGGGTCGACCCAAAAACAAGCGATGCAGCGCACGTGGTTCCACTGCTACCGTCTCCGGTTCCTGGCACAAGCACTGCAAAAAAGCAGGGCAACACGGAATCGTTTTTTGATCGGCCGTTAGCGAAAAGTGAGATGGCGGAATTCGAGCGTCTTCTGGCCGATATGTTTGTCTCTGGTAATTTCTCCTTTCGCGCCGTCGAAGATCCTCGTTTCATTCGATTTTGAAATTTATGCGACCAGCGGTGAAGCCACCAAGTCGATTTGTGTTATCGACTCGCATCATCCCGCAGCGCATTAAATCCGTCGAAAGCGATACTGTCAAAGCATTGTCATTGCAGCGGTCTGTCACTGTGACGCTGGACGGTTACAAGAAAGCAAAGCACGATAAAGTTCTTGGTACGTATGAAAACAGGGGCACATAAGGGCAGTGTTTCTGTTGCATACTTGCAGTGTAGGTCGACCTACAATCGTTTGCTTTTCAGGAATTATGGCTACTGTCAGAAACAGTCAAGGTGTGGAAAACCATTTTTTGTCCACTGAAATTATTTCATCTCAATCGTCTCGAGCTGAGGACGTCATGGAGAAAATTGAAAACAGTTTTACGATGTTGGAAGAAAAATACAAGGCCTGTGCTCGCACAGTTACGTGCGACTCGGATGCCGCCCACGTGAAGGCAAGGCGGTTAATGAAGGAAAAGTATCCCAGCAAGATATTTTTGCCGTGCAGTGCCCACCAAATCAACTTGATCGTGAAGGACGTTTTGACATCAGTCCCAAAATTTTCAGCCGTTTGCAAGAAAGCTGTCGACATTGTTTCGCTACTTGCGGCGCGCACGAAAGCGCTATCCGTTCTTCGCGAGGAGCAGATGAAGTACAATGGCAGCACGACAGCCATAAGCAAACCATGCGACACACGGTGGTACAGTTACAATAATATGTTCCGAGCGATTGTCAAGTCGCGGCTTCCTCTTCAGGTTTGTAGGTCAACCTACAGTTTATTATTTTAAAATTTAAGCATGACCATTTATAGGGCATGGTCGCGCGGCTAGCAGACGACCGATCGAAGACCGAAGGGCTTACAAAGCTTAAAGCTATCATTGAAGATGCAGCATTTTGGAGTGCTCTAAAGTATGTTGTGGAAATTCTGGATCCGATCACTGTAGCTCAAGGAATCACAGAGACAGATGGGTGCACCTTAGGGGATGTTATCAGTCAGTTTGCGAAAATTTACCACGTGTTTATCGCACTGGAAAACGACGATTTAGCGAACGTGTTAGGGTCGACCCTAGAAAAACGCTGGCAAAAATTTTACGATCCGTCGCTTTTTGTGCTGGCTTTGATACTGGACCCGAAGTCCAAAATGAAAGCGTTTAATACTTCTGGACGTTTCAATTTTGGGGTTGTTTTGCGCTGGGCAAAAGGCTGGTACGTCCGTTTATTCGACTGTGATGGGATGAGTGTGGTTAACTCCTTATGGATTATATTGAGAACAAGGGCATATTTGGAGATGATGTTGCATCAAATCTATCTTCTGCGGAGCGCTACTGGAACTATGTGCAGTACGAACACAAAGAGCTGGCCAGCTTAGCTTTGGAACTTTTGCACGTCGTCGTGCATGCTGCGAGTTTGGAGCGCGCTTGGAGTCAATTAGGATTCGTGCATGACGACAACCGGTCTAACTTAAAACTCGATTTGGCTACAGGAATGGTTGCGATGCGAATGAAATTTCAAAAAAGAAGATGTTGTGGCAAAACGAGAAGCGCAGCGAATTGCAGCCCTAAAACAATCCGTGAAGGTCGACCTTCAGACACACAAGAAGAGCGGAAGTACGGTAGTCGAAATGGACGACGACGGTGAAGTGCAGTTGATCTCCAGCAACAATGATAAGTGCAGTACAGTTTCAGATCTGGAAGGCTCCGATGATGCGAACGCTGCGAGTCAGTTCAACTCGGTGTTAGAAGCTCTTTTAGAATTCGAAGAATGCACAGACGATGAGATTATTGAATCAGTGGCCGATTTTTACTCTCTAAGTGACTTATTTGGAGGCGTGCAGGTTTAATAAATTGAATTGACTATGTTAAGACGTAACAGTATACTAAAACTTTAAGAAAAAGCCAAATACCATAGTATTATTATAATACCAGGTATTACTGGTAATACCAGTGGTACTAACTGGTATACCAGTGGTATAAACTGGTATACCAAAATACTAATACCACTGAAGCTGTCAAGTGCCTGGTATCAACAACCCTAGATTAATGTATCGACCGGGTCATCCGGCTGTTCGTCCGGAAGGCGCTCGCGCACGTCGTCTGGGGCTGGCCACTGTGATTCGTCAGTGTCCGCTCCATGGTCGAACATTTCCTTCAGGTCGCCTTTAAATCCTTCGTAAGGGTCACCTTCTCCATGGTCGGAGATTGAGTCCTTCTCCTCGATGTCCGAGATCTGTTCGGATTCCACGTCAGACTGTTGCTTGGATGTGGAGGGCTGGGGTTGTTCGACCGGAGTCGGCGGTTTTGGTGGGTTCCGTAGCCGACCTCCTGAAGTCTTAGCCGGCTTTGTGCCGGTCCGCTCCATGACTTCTTTGAATTTTCGCTCAACCGCCTCTTTGTCGTGTGGTTGTTGAGCCCTTTCCTTCTGCTCGGTCCTTTGTGGGCCGGCATCGGAAATATCCAAGTCGTCGGATGATTTATGCCGCTTGGCCGGATTAGGCTTTGGCGTCTTTACCGTAGAGTCCGACTTCGGTTTGGTCGTCTCTTTGGCCTCCGGCTTTACTGGTTTCTTCTGGGTTTCCGTCGGTTGCGGCTTAGCGGATTGTTTCGCTGCTTCCTTCTTGGCCTTCCGTTTATCCTTGTGGGATTTCGCGGAATTGGCCGAGTTGATGACCCGTGTGTCGCGATCATCGTCGATCTGGACGGAAGGTTGTCTGGTTGGAGGGGGGACTTTCATCTTGACGGATTGCTGTGCCGTCTTCTTGGTCGACTTGGGTTCCGGAGCGGTGACTTTATGTCGAGTCGGCGTAGCCGCTTGTAGGGCTTTAGGTCGACTCTTTTCCGCTCGGTAATGTTCTCCCATACGTTTCATAACGTCGGCCATCTTCTCGGTCAGTCGGTCGTGGTCGCGCCGAGCTTCCGTGGTGTTTCCGAGTATGCTGGCACGTCGGATTCTCAGTGAGTGCCAGAGTTCCCTATCCTCCGGGTATGCCATGTCGATGCAGGCATCCTGTTCCGACCTTGTCAAGTCCTTCACATGTTGTAAGGCTGGGTCGTCATGGAATTCGCGCGATGAGTCCTGAGGTGGCTTCTCTTTAGCCGTACTCCGTTTGGTCGGTATGTTTACCGACTCCTTTGCCGACTCGTTCGTTCGAGACTCGTCAATTGTTAGACGTGGGCCGGAGTGTACCGAGGTCGGTTCGTCCCTTTGTGGTGACGTTTCGACCGTGGTTTCGACTCGCGCTTCCGAAGGGGATGTTGTGTCCATCACGTCTTCGGTTTTCTTCGGTTTCGTCGGAGTATTCCGTGGTGTAAACCTGAGTGGTTTTTCCATTGTCGGTTGACTTGGCAGCTTAGTCGGCTGGGATGCTGATCGGGTCGGCGAAATTTGTTTTACCGGCGATCTGCCTCGTTTCGGCGTGGATCCCTTCGGTGGTGCCGCTGCCTTCTGTTGAATGGAGTCGTCGGAATCGATGTCGTCCGCATTCTCCTCATCTTCACTACTATCCGACATTGTTATCGGAATCTTCTCGGTTACCTCTTCTCCGGGCCGAGGTTGGATCTCCAGCGTATAAGCGCCTGGGTTGATGCTCGGATTACGGAGACGTTGGATCGTCTGGATCATGTTAGAGTCCAGCGGGAGTTGTCGTAACTCCTGCTTTCCGCATCTCAATGTCACCAACCGTCTCAAGACTTTGTCTCTGTCCTGGATTGTGGCGTGGATCTTCTGGGCCGTTTGAGTCTGTTGCTCTTCCGTCATGGTCCGATCTCGGATACCTCCTTGAAGTTGTGCTTCGTAGAGTATCCGTTGAAGATCTAATGTTTTGGCTTGGCTGACCAACTTCTTGTGGATGCCGGGAGTAAATAAGGCCTTCGCTCCCATCACTTTCCGTGACGGGCTCGGCTTCTCCTCAGCCGGTAGTAGGGAAGACGGAGTCGCCTTCAGGATCTCCAAGAGTCGTTCCTTGGTCCTGACTGGTGATGGCGACTTTGACGGGAAGAGACGCCTGCGTGGACCGTGCTCTTCAATGTTGTCCGTCAGTTTCGGCTTCCTAGCGAATTTCGGTGAGTTTGATCCGCCAGGTTGGAGAACGAGTCGACCGTCAGGTGTTCGTTCACTCTGCGGTTCTCTTTGTGAGAGCCCAGGTAACGTTGTCGGTCGTTCGAGGGGCTGGGGTCGGCTAGCTTCCGTTGCTGCGGCTTCCACCGACGTGTCCATTGGCTCGTCTTCACCTTCAAGTCCTGGTACCGGTACTTCGTCCATCGGCTCGTCTTGGTGACTCGCCGGTGGGACTACCTGTGTCGGTTTGACAGGTTGTACCTTTGGCTTTTTAGCGGAGGGCGGCTTCCTCAGCTTGCGTTGCGCTTCCGCTTCCTTCCGCTTGTAGAAGTCGTCTACGAAGGACTGAATCATGGCCGTCAAAGTTTGCAGCCGTTCCTGGTTCTTTGCCGACCACACTGTCGTTGGTCGGAGGATAAATCGGGCTTCCTTGGTATTATTCTCCAAGTGTCCGAGATTGATATCGATCTGACAGTATTGCGGACTCCGTTGGTCGGTTTCATCCATCATCTTTCGAAGTTCGACGATGACAGCGTCCGCACGCAGTAACTGTGTGTTAACTGCTTTTACCCATTCAAGGTCGGGTTTGGCTGGTGGGGCTGGAGGTGGAAGTCGGACAGAATCGAAACTCGGTTTCCGAGCCGACTGGATCTTTGTGATCCGAGACGGTCGACCTTCAGTCATGGCGTTTGTTGCCAAGCTGGTCGATTCCTGTTCTTTCTCTTCCTCGTATTCGTTCACCCTTGTTTCCAACCATGAGGTCGTTCGGGTTAGGTGTTGTCGAGTCCTCATCGTTTGTGGGGCGTCCGGATGACATAGTCGTCGTATAAACCGGGCATTGTTTCCCCACGCCAAGATATCTCGATCCAAATCATTCGCTTCTTGGCTGTTATCTTCGCAGAAGTTTCTGCGGGCCCTCATCTCTGTGATGAGTTCCGCTACTCTAGCCAATAGTTTGACTATATATGGCGCGACCGTACTCGGTAGTTCATCCGTGTCCGGTATGGCTTCCATGATTCGGGCTTCCGTGGCCGGAGACATGGGCCGATCGGCCATTTCCATCGGTTTCGGTTGGGCCAAGCCTACTGTTGAGGTCGGCTGGGATTGAATCCGAGCTGTTGTCAAAGTCGGCTGACTCGAGGTGTTCGGCTGTTGCGAACCGGGTGCGTGTTGTTCCGCTTTCCGTTGTTCCTCGAGTTCCTTTCGCCGTAAGATTTCGAGGTCGGCTTGCACATCTTGGATGTGCATCCGGGAGACTTTAATTTGATCTTCGATTGCCGTCCGGATGTTGCGGATGGTCGGATCTGTTCCGTCCATGTTATCAACTTGGCGTTGCAAGCTATCGGCAATCCTTTGTGTACGAGCCAACTTGTCGTTAAGGGCTTCACGCTTTTCTGCCAATGTGGGCTCGAGCGGTTGTTGTGAAGCAGTCGGCTGCGACTGAATGGAAGTCGGCTGAACCCTTTGTGGGTTAACCTCTAAAATTTTCCATAAGTCTTCGACCCGCCTTGAGCAGATACTATACTGCTGGTCCAAGGCGTCGCGCATTTGCTTTTCCATGGCGTTATTCGGGTCGAGTTCCCGGAGTTGTCTTCCGAGCTTCTCCATGACGTCGACCGCTTCTCGGTACTGGTCCTCGACTTCTCCGATGTCGACTTCTTTTTGGTCGACCGCCTCGGCGAATGGAAGTTCGACGTCAAATCCAGGTGATGGGACTGGAGAAGGTGTTTGCTCACGAGCTGGTACCGGCGCTCCCGCTTTGTTCGGGTTTGCCAAGTACTGCTTAACATGATCGATCACCGACTGAAGTGCTTCAATTAGCCGGTCCCGCTTCGGACCTGGCGGTGGAATTCACCATGAGCCTAGGGTATCGGCCCAATCCAACTCGAGTCGTAGTGCTCGGTCGATTCGGGTGAGGTCGGTTTCCTCTTGTTCCGTTAGGGTTCCACTAAGTCGGTGGTGAAAGATGTCGGCTAAATCCTGTCCGGCTTGTGTGATTATGTCCAAGTTGCCGGGCAGGTTTTCCATTGGGGTCGTACCGACTAGAGTCATCACCGCTGTCGTAGTCGGTGGTGCTCGGCGAGGTGGAGACGGCGTGGCGATCCGAGTGTACTCGGGTTCCGCGTTGAGGATCTCTGTGATCCGCTCAACTACCGACCTGAGTTGTCGTTCGTCGACTTCGGTCGGTTCTTCCTTGCGGAGTAAGTCGTCTGCCTTTTCAAGTAGGCTGTCAAGTCGTTCATCTTCTGCCGTGCCACTCTCAGAGTTTCGTCGTCCGTTGGCGTATTTTGTACGAACGTTCGCTGGAGGTCTTCCAGTAAGTCCCATCCATCGGTGATTATGGAGGACATCTTTTCTCTGCGGCTTTTCCGCATTGCCGAGTGCATCTCCGCCGCCGATGAGGTCGACGGTAATGCGTCTGGGGTGTCCGTGTCGGAGTCCGGTGGTCGGTGTTGATCCCGTGATTCTGGTCGGCGTTGGCTTCGGCTGTATTCCCGTAGCTGGTTTATGCCGTTCATTACGAATTGGAAGTGAACTCCCGGTTCAATCGTGCCTGGTTGTATCAGGTTCCTCACAAGTTGTAT